TATGAGTCTTAGATCACCAAGTCTAAGTAGACATAATTCAACTATAATAAAGATGAAAAAAACAAGTCGATGAAAAGCCAGAAGAGGATGAAGAAGAAATATTAGCTTTAATAAAGAAGCTAAATGAAAAATATGAAATTAAGACAGCCTTGAAACAACCAGCAAGACATAGTATTGATATTGGTTCATGTTCTAACTTAGAGATAAATAAGGATCTAAATAATCCTATTTTTGAAAAAAGAAAGGTAATTGGATATAAGACCAAAACTGTGAGTGAACCAGTATATGAAGATGAAGTTAATATGCAAATGGAAGCCTATAATGAAATATCTAGTACTAATCCTAATAGCATTTATATTCCAATTTATATATGCATTGAAGATTATAATAGATATAAATTATGTGCATATATTGATAATGGTTGTTTTACATGTTTTGGAAAAAGGTCATCATTTCCAGAATTCTTGTGGAAAAAGGCTAAAAATCCTATGTAGGTAAGAATTGCTAATAATAATAGTGTTATGATGCATACGGAAATAATAGAGGAATTGCCAATATATAGAAATTGGAGGTGTTTAATGTGTTATTCCTATCTAATGGGCAACTGATCAGCCTAGTCATGATATGATAATAGGAAATAACTTTCAAAGACTGTACTCTCCATGCACTCAAACTATTGATCAAATAATTTTTACTATTAATGGTCATTCGGTTCCTATACAGAAAATAACAAAGGCTTATATTCATTAGACTTCGGAATTTACGCGCAACCAGCGTGGTGATAAGGTTACACCTACACAACGAGAGGTTGCACTTAGAATTTCTGAGTGTGAATCATCATTAATAGATCAGATAATTAAGCAACAAGAAAAATTATGTGAAAAATTATATTCAACAAACCCATTAGAACATTGGGAAAAGGATAAGGCATTTGCTAAGATAACTCTAACAAATCCTAATAAGATTATCAGAGTAAGACAAATGGTTTATACCTACTCAGATATATTAGAATTTGATGAACAAATAAAAGAATTGTTGAATAAGAATTTAATTAGGAATAGCAAGAGTCCTCATAACAGTACAACATTCATGGTAAGAAATCATGCAGAAGAAAAAAGAGGTAAAGCTAGCTAGGATGGTCATTAATTATAAACAGCTAAATAATAATACTGTGTTTGATGGCTATTACATTCCTAATAAAACAGTATTATTCAATAGAATACAATGAGCCACGTGATTTTCTAAAATGGATTGTAAAAATGGTTATTGAGGTTATTGATAAATTATAATGGAAGAAGAAAACATTCCATTAACTGCATTTAGTGCCCCTCAAGGACACTACGAATGGCTAGTAATGCCATTCGGATTAAAAAAATGCCCCACAAATATTTCAAAGAAGAATGGATAACATCTTTAGGGAACTTAATCATTGTTGTTTAGTCTATATAGATGATGTATTAATCTTCTCAAAAGATTTAGAGCAACATAAAGATGATCTTAAAGCAGTAACTCAGAAATGTGTTGAACTTGGTATTATCTTGGAAAGGATAAATGTGTCTATGCTAAACAAGAAATTGAGTTTCTAGGATTAGAAATTAAAGCGGACAAATAATCTTGCAAAAACATATCTAAGAAAAGATTGAAAAATTCCTAGATGAAATTGAAGATAGAAAGCAACTAGATAGGATTCTAGGATGTTTAACCTATACTTCCGATTTCACAGAAAATCGTGCTCTATTAAGAAAACCATTACAACAAACACTCAAGAAAGAAATAACTTGGAATTGGAAGAAAAATGATTTCAAACTTGTTCAAGATTTAAAAGCTATGTGTAAAAATCTTCCTATACTAACACTTCTTACTAGGGAAGATGATATAATCCTTGAAACATATGCTAGTGATGAGCACTGGGGTGCTGTGTTAAAAATCAAAGAAGGAGAAAGACTTTGCAGATACAGCAGTGGAAGTTTTAATAAATCTGAGTTAAATTATCCTACAATAAAAGGAAAATTAGAGGGATCGAGAAGTTTTTAATCTTCTTAGCCCCAAAGCAATTTCTAATTAAAACAGATTGCAAAGGCATACTTGGTTTTGTTAAAAAGAACTTGTCTAATATGCAAGCGCAAGGGAGACTCCTGCATTGGCAATTATGGCTTAACCAATTTTTATTTACTGTTGAATATATTCAGGGATCAGAGAATTCTTTGGCAGACAGCTTGACCAAAGTATTAACCAATGTCAAAGAAGCTCAAGGCAACACAAAAACCTCCTGCACACCATTTTTAAAAGATGGATGCAGAGAGAAAAACTCTCATTGATGAAACAGAGAAAGCAATGGAGCGGGCTTCACCCTCCAGTTGGGCCCTAATGCAGGGCTTGATCAATTCAGCAAAGCAACGATCACGAGATGGTTTAATCAAGGGTTTCCATCGAGCAGTCCAAAGGCTATTGATGTTTGAAGTAACGATTATGTTATTTCAACTCATTCCTGATTTACAAAATATAATACTCAATAAAATAAGGGATAATGATTTTAGAACATGGTACGAGCTGGTAGTAACAAAATCCAGTCGATTCTTTGATGTTCGAGACCTATGGGGAGAATAAGTAGAGTTTCCTACAAACTCTAAAGTGGCATCATTACGCATTAATCCGTATCCACTCTGTCGGGATGCTATATTCATTTGGATACATTACAAAGCTTGGGATTATGGAATGGTATATGCCTTTCATGATTTCCCTACTCCTAATGATTCATTCTTTTCAAATCATACAAAGTTCCAACAATATGCATTCAATAAGGTCGAAGATTTTTTGATGACAAAAAGGAAAATCTTCAGTTAGAAGCAAGGGTGCAATGTGCGAATATTGAAGTTGTAGAAGGAAAAATCAGTCCGCCTCATTATTTGATAATGTTTGGAAAAGTTGCATTTAGTACTCACGATCCCATATTAGTTCGTCAGAAGACTGTTAAAAATTCCTACTGAAGCAATAGCACTGGGATTCTTCTACATCTCGCAATATCTCAATGATTTTATAAACAGAATCGACAATCCTCCTATTATATTCCATGTGGGTAATACAACAATTATAGCACCAAACGAAATGAGAGAATATTTAGTAGATGGCATAAACAATACCGAGTCGATCTACAAATATTTAGAAGATGTTGAGAGTGGAAATTTCTATCGTTCGAAGGACATGAGTATCTGTTTGAAGCTTTCATGACATGGGACGAATCTTATGCTGCCAAATTTGTTAAGGATCTCGGCATAGAGGATGATAATCCTATGTATGTCCATTATGAAGACAGTAAAGACAGTGAAGGTGGTTTACAAGACATGATGATGGGCGAGATAATGGATTCTTGAGCCCACAACAACAATCATGCAGTCTATAGTAGCCATGTTTTTATCTTCTGTATTTCTTTTGAAAATATCTTTGTAAAAGCAGTGGTTCTTATGAACTTGCTGAGTCATGAGTGTCGGTAGAGGATAATCCTTTGCTATATAAAGGATGAGAGAATAAGAAGAAGGGTGGAATTGAAGGAGCAAGCTAGAGCGTTTCTCTGAAAACATGAGAGAGTCCTCAAGAGAAAAATACTTACCTTAAGAGACAGATCGGTTCTCCATCTCTCTTAAAGTAGAGAAACTATAGTTCAATTCATGTCTGTTTAAGCTTTCAGTTTGAGTATCGTAAGATATGAGTGTTGTAATCTTTTCTTATTAAATAAAAAGTTTTCTTTCAAGAGGGAACGTTATCCTCTCGAACCTTATATCTCTTACTTTGCTGTTCGAAAGTTCATCGGAAACACAATATAACTTGTTTAAGTAGAAATTAAATTACGGTCTAAGGTAGGAAACGAATTAGATCTGTGCTGAGCTTGATCTAAGGAAAGCAGGGTTGGGGTTAGCTACCTTGGTAAAGCCGGAAGCTGAAGAACGCCGGAGATTCCATTGCCAATTAAGTTCAAATATTGGTCAAAACTTTCTTAGTAAACAGTTATTATTGCGAAGCATTGTGGGCATTAAACTTGAAAAGAGGATTCATTATGGCATATAAGTAGTAGAGTAGAGATAACTACTACCATAAAAGTGAATTTGTGTTGATTAAACACTAAAAACAATATTGTCAATACTAGTATGAATATTGCCTTGATAATATTTATCTTGTCACTGTTAGTGTTATTATTGTCATTTGCTCACAATATAGTATCACAAAAGGAGAAAAGGTTGCCAACAAAAGGACAAAAGTGTGTTGGTCCGTGCACCTTGCTAGGTTGAGCGTGGCTCGGTAATGGAGTCCCCTTAATAAAGCTTCCATTGTTCTATAGAACAATATTTTGCTTGCAACTGTTTGATATTTATATTTGCCGATCCACTGGTATAATTATTATTAAGTTAAATTTATAAGAAGTTGATACTATGAATAATATGCATTAAACCAAATCTAACAAGATTTTAATTATTTTTATTTTTATTTTTAAATGTAATTTCCAGCACTACCAAAATTAAATTTAGTTTTTTGTTTTCAATAATAAAAATAAATAAATAAATAAATTTAGTTTTTAAAGAAAAGTAAATAGAAAATAAAAAAACATAGTTTCAATCAGATAAAACTAGATAGAAAGATCAAAAAAAAAAAAAAAAAAAAAAAAATCAGGCATATTGCTTCAAAGTGCATGCGCGCACGTTTATATTCAACAGGCTGTTGGCTTGAAACTCCAACAGGAAGAAGGAAATCAAGAGGAAACAGCCTTCTGCCGACCAGCAGTTTCTGTTCCCTCTTGATTTCTTCCTTCGATTTTGCCACTTCCACAACACCTCATATCATATCAACAATTTCAATACTCAAACAAATCAACAACAAACGAAATCAAAAACTCAATATCATCAATCATATTCGATCATCCGGTGACTCGAAACAGCTAGATAGTCTTCACAATGAAGCAGCTATGGAAGAGAGCATCGGGTATAATAAAGGATCGAAACAGCATTATAATGGCAAGCCTATCGAGGAAGACGAGGCACAGGCATCCTGATCTAGAGGCAGCATTGATCAGAGCAACAAGTCATGATGATTCTTGTGTGGATTACAAGAATGCTCAGAGGGTGTTCATGTGGGTCAGGACCTCACCATCTCATTTGATCATTTTGCTGTGGGCTTTAACACGCCGGTTGGAACGTACACATGACTGGATTGTGGCTCTTAAGTCTCTGATCCTCCTCCATGGAGTCCTCTGCACCAAGGCTCCTGGCACACGGAAGATTGGACGGCTTCCCTTTGATCTGTCGGGGTTTCAGGATGGGTATATTCGTGATGGACCTCATCGTGGGGCTTGCAGTTCATTTGTTCAGGCCTACTTCTTGTTCTCAGACCTAAAGTCTGTCACGCTGTCAGCAGAGTTGCAGGATGAGATGGCGCTCCCAGTGATTGTAGAGGAGAAAGATGGAATAAGGATGCAACTAGAAAGGGTGAAACGGTGGCAGGATCTGCTTGAAGCCGTACTACATGTCAGGCCATATGGGAGCATCAGGATGACAGATGAAGTGGTGGTCCTCGAGGCTATGGATTGTATGGTTATTGAGGTTTTTGAATTGTATAGTAAGATTTGTGATGGAATTGCCAAGGCTCTAGTGAAAATCTACTCTAATCGGATGGAAAAAGTGGAAGCTTCTATGGCCCTGGATGTAGTACATAGAGCCAACAAACAAGGACAAGACTTGTCTGATTATTTTGAGTTTTGCCAAATAATTGGGGTGCTTCATGCAACTGAATGTCCACAAATCCAGCAAATCCTAGAGGACGACTTATTAGAACTTGAGAAAATTATTAATGGAAATGGGGTCTCGCCTTCAGCAGCAATGTCAGGTAAAGCTGATCATGAAGAAAAAGGTTCTTACAATCAGGAGAATCCTGGTACAGGTACAAGAACAATAGTGTTAGTTAGTGAGAGAAAAGATATTGATCAAATGGAAAGAGATAAGCCATCCTTGAAGACAGTAATTACAGATAAATGGGAGGTATTTGACGAAGATATCAGCCAAGCTAAGAATGGAGGTGGAGCATTGATGGATCCCTTTGCTGCTTCTTCTAATGTCCCACAGGCAACTCAGTCCAACCCCTTCATTGATTATGAAGGTAAACCTTCCCAATATGTGCTTCACTACTTGTAGACTTCTAGATGCTTGAAATCTCTTCTGGTTCCTGGTTATCTACCATATGACCGCTTTTTTCCTTTTGGTTTGCCTGGCTAATAGGGTTTTCAAGTAGTGAAGGTTCTGTTGGTATTTCATAACATTCTGTAAATCACTCACAATCATATGCTTTTTGAGGATACAAATTTGTTAGCAAAATCATTCACAATTGTATACCTATAAATCAATCACAATTAGATATACACTCTGTAATTCACATATTCATCTAGAGCATTTGATCTTTCAATGTGCAAATCTAGCAACTACTTGTACTAGTTCAAATAGAGAAATCAGCTCTATAGACAGTGGCTTAGTGCAGCCAATAAGAAGAAAGTATAAACATCATACATATCAGTCATCAGTTGATACTATGCATTAGTAGAGGTGTGAATGTGTGATGCGTAAAGCACTAAGGGGATCCTTAGCATAGAGAAAAAGGTCACTTTTTTCAATTGTTGATTTCATAAAGAGTACCCTGTATCGCAATATAGCATTAAAAAAAAATTTAAAAAAAAAAAGAAAAAAATTAAGGTTTTTATTATTTTGAGTGTTACTGCTCAGCTCAGATTCAAGAGCTGTGTTCCCATAAATGTCTTAATCGCCAATGAAATATAGTGCTTGTATATCATCTTTACAATTCAAAAAATGGAAAAACATTCATTGTGAAGCTATAAGCCAGGAGTTCATTCTTTTTCAATGAGCAGAGGGAAGTTTGATGTTCCTCTTCTCATTGGATTTCACAAGGCCTTTCCATGAACAACACGCAGTAAGAAAGTTTACTCACCAAGTAAGTTTGAGATAAGTGAACAGCTCACTTGCCAAAAGTACAAAAGTGTGGATGTCTGGCTTCAGCATCAGCAAAAGATATTCTTGAAGCAACACAAAGTAAAACTTGAACAAAAGTAAATACACATGCATGTATTCAGAAAATGTTAGCATAATTCTGAGCACAAAGTATAGTATAGAACTATAGACCGAATCAACTATATAATGTGAGTTAGATGTGTTCAGTATGAAGCAGGAAAAGTGGCAAGATATAGATGACAGAGATAAAAATTTTAACTGTTGCAATTCAAAATGCATGGATATCTCAATTCAAGTTCAAGATTGCTTAGTATCTTACACATCTTGCCCATGTATGGGTGTGAAAAATCTCCTGAAACAAAACTTATCGATTCATTTTTTAACTCAATCCAACTACATCCAGGCGTTTTCTTTACTCCTTGATCAGCCATAATCTTCCTTACCGTCTCAGCTTTTTTCCACTGCCCACTAGCACAATAGAAATTTGACATCAAAACATAACTCATCTCATCAAGAGGCTCTATTATAATCAAATCATCCCCAATTTCTTTTGCTAATGGTACGTCTAAGTTTATGGAACATGCTCCAAGCATTGTTTCAGATGACTTTCCCTTGAAAGCTTTTACTCCCTTAGCTAATGATCTGGCTTCTTTTAAAAATCCTCCACGCCCAAGCAAATCCAATATACATGCTACATGATGCATTTCATGAGATAGGCCATAAACTGATGACATAGAATCCAGAAAAAATTGAGCATCCTCAACAAGACCAGCGTGGCTGCAAGTCATTAGTAAACCAATGAATGTCACAACATCTGGTCTATTCCCTTGTGCCAACATTTCTTCATAAAGCTGCAGGGCTTGGTTGGCCCGTCCATGCAACCCATATGCAAACAACATTGTGTTCCATGACACTAAATCTTTGCTGACGACATCACCAAATGCTCTACTTGCTCCTGGTAAGTCTCCACATTTAGCATACATATTAACCAAACCATTCCCTACATATACAGAGGCACGGAAACCATGCCGTATCAAGCATCCATGTATCATCAAACCATGCCCAAGTAAAGCCAAACCAGAACATGCAAGGAAGAATGCACCAAACGCTAACTCGTCAGGTTTAACAGAATCTCTCATCATATGAACAAACAGCCAAATAGCTTCTGATTCCTGTCCATTTCTAGCATATCCAGCAACCATCGATGTCCAGGAAACAACATTCTTTTCTGGCATATGCTGAAACAGAATCCATGCATCATGGGTATTCCCCATTTTCATATGAGCATCAATGACAGAATTCCAGGAAACCTGATTCCAGCAGTCCATGGACTGAAGGGCCTTGCTAACATCATCGCGAGATTCTGACTCAGTATAAAAGGTTAAAATTGAGTTTTGCACTTCAACAGAAGTATACCATCCGCTTTTAGTCACAAAAGCATGGATCATGCGTCCAAATTTGGTTTCCTCCCTTCCAACACACGAGTTTACGAGGGCACTCAAAGTCCATTGATCAGGACAACCGCCATTTTCTCTCATTTGTCTAAACAAATTCAAACACGACTCACAGTCTCCATGCCGCGCATGACCTGCAATCATTATGTTCCAAGATATTTCAACCCTTTCCGGCATACGGCTGAATACTTCTGCAGCAACACCTAAATGACCAGCATTTGTATAGGAAAACAGAAGTGAGCACCATGATACTACATTCCGCAGTTGCATCTCCTCGAACACTTTCTCAGAACTGTAAGGAATCATACATTTTCCATACATATCAATAAGAGAATTACCAACAGGAAGTGAATTCTGACACCCAGAAATAACTACTAAACCATGAATTGCAGAACCATATTTCACATCTCCTGCACCAGAACAAGCACTTAGAGTAGCAGTAAATGTGAAATGATCAGGCTTTGTATTAGCAATTCTCATCTTCCGAAACAGCGAAAACACTTCTGGGTAAATACCCAGATGAGAATAAGATGTGAGCATCGCATTCCAAGCAACTGTATCTCTAATGGGCATTTCGTCGAACATCTTGCGAGCAGACACTATTTGTCCTGCTCTTACAGCTGCCACAATTATTGATGTGGTTTTGAACAAATTTGAAGACATAACATATTTTGAAGCTCAGTTGAATTCAAAGAACAAACCCAAATTCTTCACCTTTTCTGAAATCGGAGGAAACAGCTTTGTTCATTGTTAGTGTGGCACACCAGTTTGCTAACTTTGACAAATTTCAATTGCTTTGCACTCCAGGGGGTGTCCGTTCGGTTTTCGGTTTGGATTTAGTCTAAATCCGATCCAATCCGAAATATAATTCGGTTTTCAATTTTCCAATTCGATCCGATCCGAATTTCTCTCCTAATCCAATCCGAATTAAAATTCGGTTATTTGGATCCGATCCGAAAATCCGAATTATAATATACGTATTATTTTTTAGCGCCTAATACGATTATAAAAATTAAGCTTTAATATAAATACAAGTCTTCAAAATCATGATTAAAATAAATAGTTCAACATCAAGTCATTAATTAATTAATACAAAGTCTCCCTAATTAATTTTATGTAGTAGTAAGTATTTGAGTTAAACTTTAAAAAACAAAGAAATCCATATTTATACAAGCTTAATTTTACAATTCGGTTTTCGGTTTGGATTGGATCCAATTAGGATCAATCCGATCCAATCCGAAAATCCGAATTTTCAAAAAATCTTAATCCGATCCGATTTAAAGTTCGGATCCGATCCGAATTGATAATTCGATTTGGGTTAGATTGGATTTCGGTTTTAATCCAAATTATGGACACCCCTACTCCAAACTTGTTCTACTTTTTCGAGAAATTCATATTGAAAAATACGGAGTAATTTAATACTCATCTCCGTTTTTAAATAGTGATTCAAATACTTTCCCCTTCCCAAAAAAAAAACAACCTATCCTGTTTCATATTATGTACAATATTTGCTAAAAAAGATGTTGCACAGTGCAACAAATTAAAACTTTTTTTTAAAAGTAAATTCAGCATTCTTAAATATACTAGATGAAGCCCGTGCAATGCACACTAGGGGTGAGTAAAGACCCAGGGCACCCGGTACCGGACCCAGAACCGATTAGGACTCGCCGGGTCCGGACCCAGAACTGGTCTCACCGATTCCGGGACCGGGTCCAAAATTTCAGACCCGTTTGTAACCGGTTCTGGTTCCAAATCCTAAAATTTTGGACCCGGTACCCATTGGGTACCCGGTTGTATATGATATAGTATGTGGATTGATTGTGTTTTTAAGAAATTAAAGAGTTTTCAACAGCCCATTTTAATTTCTAAGCCCAATTGCTTATAAATCTCCCAACCCACTATCAAACAAAACCCTAAAACTTCTAGATTTTTCTCTCCGCTCAACTATACCGGTTACCCAACATATATTGTACAAAATATATTTAAAAAAACAAAAATATGCTGAACGTAACTAATTAGTAAAAAAAAAATATTAATATTAAATATAATTAAAATAGCTTAATGTATATATAAAAATATAAGTATTAAACGCTAAAAGTAAAAATAAACCAAAAAAAATAAAAAAAATATTATGATTTGTATTATATTTCAACACTTATATATATTAGTTGGTTACCCAGAATCGAAACCGGTACCCGGTGGAACCAATTCCAATTCCTAAATTTTAGGACCCGGTTGTACCGGTTCCAATTCCGGTTCCAAATTTTAGGACCCGGTGCCAACCAATTCCGGGTCCGGATCCTAAAATTTTGACCGGGTACCCGGTTTGCTCACCCCTAATACACGCTATGTTTGTATTTTTTCAAATAAAACATTTTACTAAATATATATTTATCTAATAAACGTTGTGATATTGGCTTGCTTACTACTTGAATTTTTTTTATTATGAAATGAATTATTAACTTTATTTCTCATATTTAGATAAAATTCGTAATATAAAAAGACAACATTCTATTTCACAAAGTTTCATATGTGGCTGGCTGGTCACACCGTGTGGTCGGGATTACTTGGTCAGGAGTTACTTAGTTGATCAAGGGTTACACAATTGATCAGGGGTTACTCAGACGGTTAGAGTTACTCGGTCAGTGTTTCGGTCTGTCTCAATCGACCACACGATATGGTCAGCCACACAAAAAATGTGCTGATTTTATTTTAATAATTAATATAAAAAATTTTATCTAAGAAAAATTGCAATTCTTTTTTTTTCATTGGCTAAAATATAACATTTTCCTAGGTAACGCTCTAAAATTAATCTTACGTGGCATAACTCTATTATAGCGTTTTAAATTTATTAATCTTACGTGGCGCTTTTTTATAATAATCCTACGTAGCGTTTCAAAAGAAACTAATTATACGTGGCAAAATCTGATTGTAGCGTTCTAAAAATATTAATCCTAAGTGGCGCTCTAATAATTTTTTAAAAAATAAAATCCTACATGGCGCTCTAAAAACTCGGGAAAAACTCCCCTTTATATATATACTAGGTTATACCCGTGCAATGCATAGTTAGAATTAATCTTTATTGTAATATATGTTCTGTTGCATTACATTGTATATGAAGATTAGAATTAGATATAAAAATAATTTACATTATTGGAAAGTAAAAAAATTGAATCTACGATCAAATATCAAACAAATTAGATATGTAAAACTATAATTTAGGAGAAAAACTTGGATATTCAATACATACACTTAAAAAGTAGATTAAAAAAATAATAATAATAATTGATGACATCATATAGAGAATTGGAGGGACAAATTTTAATGTGAAAATGACACGTATGATAGTTTGAGGTTTGATAATAGTTTGAGGTTTGATAATGTGCAGCAATGTTTTGTTTTAGTTTTAGTTATAGTTACCAGATATATTAGATTAGATTAGATTTGTCTGGCAACGGGGCCCACAAAAGCAACTGGTTGACAATATTTCGTCCATCAGATTGATTGCTTGGGGTGCCCTCTAAAATACAGTCGCAAAATGAAAGTGGAGTAAGTACTCGTATTAAAATACGGAAGGAGTATTATATCAAGGAAAGAAGACAAGTAGCACAGTTTATTTCTAGATTTCAAAACAAATATTTTTTGTATTTATGCGATTAATTTGTTATTTTATTCGTTGTGCGTAATATATCATTAATATTTTTATTTTAAAATAAATTGTGAATTTTCTCTCATTGGTTATATATTTAGATAAAATTCCTAACTTCAAAAGATAATATATTATATTTAATGAATTTGAACTTTAAAATCTCATTCGCCAATTTTGCTTTTGTGGCATTTGAATTATTTAATTCTAAAAGAATTTACAAATCTCTTATTTGATTGGCTATCACAAAAATTTATTATCAACTGTGACGAGTTAAGAAAATTTTATCCTACGCGGCTCTCTAAAAACTCGGGAAAAAACTCCACTTTATATATATACTAGATGAAGCCAGTGCGATGTACGGTTTGTTTTTATTTTTTAAACATAATTTATTTTTGAAACCTAAAACAAATTTTATTCGTTGTAATTAGTATATTAATTAATATTTTTATTTTAAAATAAATTGTGAATTTCCTTCCCTTCGTTATATATTTAGATAAAATTCCTAATATCAAAAGATAAGAATTTATATTTAATTAATTTAAACTTTAAAATCTCATTTGACAATTTTGCTTATGTGGAATTTGAATTATTTAATTCTAAAAGAATTTATAAATCTCTTATTTAATTGGTTGTAGCTAACATTTATAATCCTACTAAGAAAATTTAATCCTACGTAGCTCTTTAAGAACTCGGGAAAAACTCCCCTTGTGCCCGGGTGATGCCTGGATTGTTGATAAAATTTTAGGTAAACTTTTACCTTTTGAAAATGAAAAATATTTAGACATGATATCATATCGCTTATTTATATAATAGTGTACTTTTAGTAGTTTTGTTATTATTAAGTTGAAATTATTTTATGAACTTAAATTTTATATACTGAAATAAAAGTATTTTTACCAAACTAAAATTATATTTATTGATTAATACTTATTTTTATTGATTTAATATTACTCCGTAATTTTTAAATAAATTAAATATATTATAAATGGTTCTTATTTTAAAGAACTTTTTAAAACGAATTTTATAATGGAAATGACAATCGAGAATAGGATATTTATTAAAAGTTATGATTATATAAATATTAGAACTTTAGAAGTATATCCATAATAAAACTCTATACAATATTTTTATCTTAAAAAAAATCTATCTAAAATTTGCTTACTTATCATCATATGTGTCACAATAATATCTATTTGTCGTCTACGTGGCTAGACACTTGGCAAAAAATTTGAATGCCAAGTGTCGCTGTTTCGTGGCCTGACTACAAGACCGGCTTTATATATTAGTGCTATGATATTAGATTGGCTATATTTCCTATTAAAAAAAATGGCTATATTGAAGGCGGGATATTATTTAATTATTGTGTAACTTTTGGCCTTTGGGTATTATTTGTGAGATATAAAATATTCCAGAGTTGCACAAATAATTAACGGAGGTAGTATTGTAATTTTGATTGCTCTTTCTCTCTGTATTATGTTTGTATGATTAGTAATTTACTCAATTTGAGGGTAAGAAATTGAATTTGAGGGTAAAATTTTAATACTCCCTCCATTTCATAATGTTAGTCCCATATGGAATCAATCACATGAAATAAGAAAAGAAGAATATTTGGAATCTAACATTAAAGTACAAAATAATTCATAATTAGTTTATCTTATTTAAGTTTTTTGATTTTTTTTTGGGGAAAGCATAAATCATAATGCATAATTTAAGGTAGAGATTTCCTTATTTAGAGTCATGCCATCAATCCACATTCAATTAATTCCAAAAAAATTAAGTTAAAAATTATAACATATTCAATATGGGTAGATCTTTTTAAAACGTCCAAAATAGTATATGAGACTAATATTATGAAACAGAAGGAGTATTGTTTAATAATAAAACTTTGGTTATTAATTGTGTTTTTGGAAAATTAATGCCAATGATATTTAGTGATTGAGACATTAATGGAAAAATATAATGTCAATGATTAATAGTTTTTGAAATTTTGAACTTTGATTGATAAATGTTAACCTGTGTCATTTACTAATAAAGTAGCAAAAATTTTAAAAATTGTTTGGTTGCAATTTAATGTCATTATTTTTTCTCCTTATTTATTATTTTTAAAATAATAATGTGGGATAACTAATTGTCTAAAATGTCTCAACTCATTAGAGCTAAATG